ATTTCATAATAGATTGTGATTTTCAGATACCTTAAAAATATGATATGATTCTTATATCATATTATACACAAATATGTTACTAATTTATAATTTGAAAACAAGAAAATGGTATTCAATCACGGGAAAGGGAGGGATCCCGCGACTTTGCTTCGCCAGGCTGTTCCAATACGATCTTACGCCAGCCCTGGCGAAAGATCGGCTGGCGAACACTTGCTATTCTTTTAATAGTACGAAATTCCCGAAAGGTTTAAAAAGTACGGGCCTAAGTCATCACCCAAGACGCCAAAAATAAAACATCTGGGGATTCGAGCAGATTCCAAACAAAGGAAGGTCAACAGGACAAGGCTCACATTCAAGGCACCATGACCCGAGTGGTGGAATCACGCGACACAAAGTGACACCACCTGATGGACCCACAGAAGCCAAAAAGGAAATCACGCTTGCAAGACAACGAGCAGTCCCGATCGATCGCAATAGAGATCGTAGTGTTTCAGTCTGGGAACAAGGAAGTAACTCGGGTGGCAGGTAGAGACAAATGAATAAATCAGTGTTGAGAAAATTACTGGGACAGAAAACTCCAGTTGCGGGTATCTTTCCAACTATAAGAATTTGCATGACCTGATAAGCAGCAAGGGCGTGACCGGACGAACTCAAATCGAAGAGAAAGGGACGCTCAGTGACGGAGATAGTGGACTAGGCCTAGAAGTAGCGCCCAGTAACCGTGCTCGTTGGTGGCTCATCTCGGTAAGCCCGCTTGAAGAAATTTAGTGCACCATCGTGACTGAACTTCGTAGACAGGAACAAGAAATGGAAGATAGGAGCATGGGAGTGCAATTCTGGAACATATTAATAGGAAGAAAATGAAGATTATCATCAAGGCACAATGAAACAAGTTGATTATCATATCCAACTAATGGGTTAGATGTGTCTCTATCAACAGTTAAGGGAAGCATGTTAATTTGTAAGCGTAATGAAAGAATGAAGTCTTTTCTGAGATTGATAGTCAAGCGGAAGTATGCAGGCAGTGGCATGTCTTGTTTTCGACAGGGCGTATTTATTTTATTTTATTTTATTTTTTGTCTTTGTTTGTGTTTATGATAATCAACTATTTGTTTTTCTCATCATTCTTTTAGAATGATATCTAATCCACTAAAGATGTTTATTTTCATTGAGCTCTTTGGTTTTCGTGTTATCACATTTTCTGTAACATATCATTTATTAACGTATAAGATATCAAATAATTTATTATTTTTGTGATAATCGCTATTTTGTTTTATATTTGATTCATTAGGATAAAACCAAGTCTTGACTGTTGATGATTTTGTTTTCATCAAGTATCATGACTGATAATCATGTAACAGTCAAAACTGTCAACTTGTATGTAAAGTGTCAAGAACCCAAGTAATATTTTCTGTTTTTTGTTTCATATAATCTTTGATATTTTATTTTTTGATACATTGCATGAATGCTTGTCCATTAGCAAATGTATTAATTTTCATAAAGATTTAACGAAATGCTTGAATTACACTGATTAATAATATTAATATTGCCACACTGAAATCCACTGATCAGTTATTCAAAGTTACACTACAGTGAATGAGAACAAGTAAACATTTTTTCCTCTAACATAATAAGTCTTGATTCTAAAGAGCGTTTAATAAGATATTATGGAATAGGAGGCCACAGGAGTGACTATTGTGCCTGGGAAACGTTGGGTCTCTCTCTTTGCCTGTTACTTCCTCTTTTCCTTTTGGTCTTTTCTTTATATATATTATATATATATATATATATATATTATATATATATATATATATATATATATATATATATATATATATATATATATATATATATATATATATATATATATATATATATATAACATACATAATACATACATACATAAATAAGTAACATATATTATGGTATGTATATGCATCTGTACGTTTGTGTGCATATATTCATGTATATGAATATTCATATTATATATATAATATATATATATATATATATATTATATATAATATATATATATATATTACACATATTGATATATATAAATATATATATATATATTACATATTGAATTATATTATTATATACTATAGTGTGTATGTGTGTGTGTGTGTGTGTGTGTGTGTGTGTTTGTGTGTGTGTGGTTGGTGTGGTGTGTGTGTGTGTGTGTGTGTGTGTGTGTGTGTGTGTGTGTGGAGTGGTGTGTGTGTGTGTGTATGCCTGTATGTGTATGAATATATATATTATATATATATATATATATATTATATACTATATATTATATATTATATATAATGGTGCCATATATATAATATATATACACGTATATATAGTTCCATATTCATACTTATAAGTTGCCTAAATGACGGTACTTACTATATACTAACTTAGTCAGTATTTTACTAATCAGCGCCGGCCTATATTATGTGTGTCCCGCTCGTGTGGAGGCGTGATCCCTTGAGGCCTGTGTGTGTGTGTGTGTGCT